AAAAAAAAAAACTAATAACTACAAGCTATTACTCCATCTAACCAAATCAACTAGAGGCAATAGACACAATTGAGCCTTCTAGAGATACAATAACCACTCAAATCAGAAAAATAAACTGCTATAGGAATACAATAAAGAACAATAACATGCTACAACTGAACCAAGGACCTAGCAGCATCTCCTTGCCTCAATGAGACCTTCCTGATCCACAGCAACCTGCAAATTCAAACCAATCACTCTGTGCAGCTTTAACCACCATATGTTCAGGCAACCAATCATGTTTAAATTTCCATAAATTATGGGATTTCCATAACCAACATAAAATATATGTGGTTAATTCAATCATCTCCTCATAAATCACAAATTTCCCAGCTTCACAGATATTCCACCACCATGTCTTGAAGGGTTTGTTATCAGAAAGAACATCCTCCTAATGAATTGTTATTATCCTCCAAACTTGTTGAGCTCTTCTGCAGCTGAACAACACATGTTCAATAGTCTCTACCTCTTCACCACACTTTGGCAGGTTTGATAAATTTCCATTCCCCTCCTACACAAATTATGGCTCACTGGAAGCACATTTGAATAACACTTCCATAAAAAATGTCTGAGTTTGCTTCTGATCTTCAATCCAACTTTTCAATCTCACCTTCATGTCTCTCACAGAGGAAGAACATCCTTCAGCAATGTCCAGGAAGTTGATCTTCTGTTTTAACAGATGATAATATGAACATGCCACAAAAACTTACCTTTTCTGCCTAGAGTACAAATCCATCTATCATTTCTTAGAGGATCCAAGGTCTTGATATTCAGAATAGCCTCTTTGATTTGAATAGGAAATATTTCAGAGATGATTGATCTGTTCCACCTTCTACCTCCTTCTTCCAAGAGGTCTGAAACCCATGTAACCTAACTGGAAACTAGACTTGTTGATGATAGATTCAACAAACTCTCATTGGGAAGCCAAGGATCTGCCCAAATGCTAGTGGTTCTGCTATTCTTAACCTCCACTCTGAAGAATTGCTTGAATTTATCCCTCACTTGCAGCCAGTTACTCCATAACCAAGAAGCATTGGAAATCTTTTTAGTTTGAAGTAAAGAGCAGTTATGAAAGTACCGTCCTTTAAGTACTTTTGAGACAAGTAGGTTGGGTTGGCTTACAATCTTCCACATTTGCTTTAAAATGAGAGCTTCATTGAATAGATTAATGTCTTTGAACCCCAATCCTCTCACTGCTCTTGGTAAAGTCATGAGACTCCATTTTTTCAGTGCATTCCATTTTGTAGATCAGCTTTGCCCCACCAGAATCTAGCAGTCATTCTCTCAATATCCCTGCAAATGCTTTTAGGAAGGCAAAAATAGGATATGGAGAACACTGGCAATGCTCCCACAATAGCCTTTATAAAAACTTCCTTACCTTCTTCTGACAACAAGTTGTTTTTCCAACTGACAAGCTTTGATCTTACAGAACTCAACACAAACTCAAGAGCCTCTTTTTTTGATCTCCCAATACTCGGGTGGAGCCCCAAATACCTTGTTGATTTGTGCTCTTGGATTC